GGTGGGGGGGGGGGGGGGGGGGGGGGGCACCTGGGCCACCACGTAGACACGCCCCTGTATAGTTGAACACTGAGCGGATCGACTGTCTCCGCGAAAGCTGTTGTGTTTTAAAATAAAATCTTATATAACAAAACGTTCATACAGTAAATTAAAAAAATCATTGTTCATTGTTACTAATTCAGTAAAAGTATTGCTTAATTGTAAATTTAGTACACTGTCTTCGATGTCATATTTCTTGAAATCTAATTTTATATTATTAATTTCAAAAATAATTTTATTGCTTGTGACTATTAATATCACATCAATATTTCCTTATAAAATATTATTATTCTGTATAGAAAATGAAGTAATTAAAAAAATAATAATACATGTTTTCCCTGTAAGATGAGAATGTTACTTTATAGAATATCTTCAGCCCTTTCAATTCCACCAAGACAATTTTTTTTAGTAAATCCACGTCTTGGCTTCTTGCAGTAGAGGATTATATTAATACTGGATTTACTGAAATAAATATTCTCACAATATTCCATTTTATGGTATATTAATGAACGCCTTCGAATTATAAAATAGCTTGGTTTTGTATATTTTAGCTTTAAATGGTCAGCCTCTCTCCAGGAATAAAATCATTCATGAAGAATGCACAAAAATGTAAATAATATTTTTTATAATAATATTATGGCCTATTTGTCTTTAAGCTCTACAATCAGTAAGCTTAATTACTGGTTTGATGAATAATGCAGGGATTCAGTCAACCCGATCTCATGAAAGTGCGTATCAATAGCATCAGTTTATGTTTCGATTTGGCGTACTATTTATATGCAGAAATTGACTTTGGCATATGATACACTATGGGTAGGATTAGGGTTGTGGGGTAGATGCGTATCATATGCGAAAACTGCGTATTATATGCACGCCAACAAATTGCGTATCATATGCACGCCAAAGTCAATTTCTGCGTATCAATAGCACGAATTTCTTTGTATTTGGCGTACTATTTATACGCATTATCATAGGATTCAATCTATAAAAATCAAATCCACAAAACAAAAACAATATATCTTGTTTAGAAAAGTCATCATTTGAACAGGTATTGCAAACTTCAAGCCATTATTATTATTATTCATTTTAATTTTCAGTAGAACTGAAGTATTACATAAAATAATATTTAAAGTAACTGGAACGGAAAAAATACTAAAAGATATTTCCTACACCATGCTTATACAGTGCTTGAGGAATAAGACGTGTCAATATAGATATGTAAAACGAAATAAAAAAATCGAAATAAAAACAGTGCTTATATTTAACCTTCATGTTACATTGAGCAAATATTGCCAATAAAGCAATATGTGGCAATAACTGTAGCCTAACATTTAACATTTGAAAAGAATAAATAAGTTTAAAAGTGCCTTCATTTCGCGTTCTTACTGTTTTCACAATTTAAAGCGAAATTATTGTGGAAAAACGTTCATACAAACGATACAAACTCGACTTTAAGAGCAATATATCAACATTGGAGCGTCATCCGCCAGCAGAGTTAGTACCGAGCTGTTAGAAACGAAATGCTCTTGCTTTTATTATGTTCCCGGCCTTATTCGTAGAGATCTGAAGCTGTGGGTTTTTCCATTTTGAAATCTCTAGAAGTAGCGAATCGGCCTTTCTGAAGTGCTCCTCTATTGAGTTTGTAGTTTACTAACAACTCCTTTCCATTGCCAAGTTCTGATTAGTAATAAACGCTAATTCTTAATTCCGTATCCATATCTCTTTCCAAAATTTACATTTGCCATTTACAGACCACTCCATGTCGCATTTAGGTCTATTTACACTGTTGCACGTCGTTGCAGTAGCTGCATGCAACAATGCTGTCACATCACACAGGGTTTGATGTCCTGATAGGAGACCTGCTGATGGTGGTAGTACGAGCTACTCCCTGGTGAATTCATCGATGAAGAGGTCATGGCGTTAAAAGAGAAGACAAACTCTTTCCTGTCACACATGCTGGGAGATTGGGAATGATAGCGCGGTATACCTGTGGGGACACACAAAAAAAACCAAAACATGTTGGTTTAGTTTAGTTGATAATTTAAGTTCTTTATGAATAAATTTAATGTTCTGCTTGGCTGCAAGTTTGGGCTGGCCTGTTAAACGTTGCCTAATGGTATTTTAGTGGTTATATAGCGTTTATTATTATTATTATTATTATTATTATTATTATTATAGTAATGATTAAGAAATTGTTTCGGAGATAAACATTCGCCCGTGACATTCAGTCGTTCATTTAGTATGATGGTAAATATTTCTGCATTTGGTCAAATCTTCTAATCGTAAAACATAGATTATATATATATATATATATATATATATATATATATATATCTGTGTGTGTGTGTGTGTGTGTGTGTATAAAAACATTTCCTCAAGGTCTTCTGAGATACATTAAATTGCTACGTCCGATACAGGAATATAATTTAGTAGTATAGCCTAACTTTCGTTAATAACTTTAACAAACAAATAGGCCTACTTTATAGCAACTTAATACTTAATAGACCGGTAGTTATTAGACATTAAATATACACCTTGCTACGTGTACTGCGTTAGGCTAACCGAGACTTGTCATTTGCACTTATATATTGTTGCTCTTTTGTTAGTTTTGACTGCTCTTATTGTCCTCATTTGTAAGTCGCTTTGGATAAAAGCATCTGCTAAATGACTAAATATATTTGTATTTTTATTTCAAACACATTTCTATTTTAATTTCATATGTTTTTAAAATAGTTTTTGATGGTAGTTTTTTTCTTTCTTTCTGGTGTGCTTTGAGAGAGCTGGAAGTCTGGGTGGAATCATTTTGAAACGATTGTGACCACATACACGCATTGCTTATTCCAGTGGAGGTTAAAGAAAATCACTTCTAATTTTGTATGTGCATAATGGTATCAATATGTGAGCTAGAAACTCCTTGTAGACTTGTACATGCTTACTATTGCTATAAAAATTCACGTTTTTAACACATTTTTATTTTAATTTCATATGTTTTTAAAATAGTTTTTGATGGATTCATTTATAAGATTCAGTAATACCTTATAAAACAAATACGAAATAAAATATTTCTGTTAAACATGTCTGTCTGGGTCAAATTATCTTTAAAACATTTACCTTGAAGGTCGGTGGTTCCATGGCCATTCTGGTGCAGGTAGGACTGTTCCAGTGAGTGTGTGGGTAAACTGGGCTGCAGCGGATTGGTCCCAGGGTTGCACGGAGAGAGCGGCTGCTGTTTGATGTAAGACGCCCCGTTGTTTAGAGAGGCCGGGGGCGCTGGAGGCCAGGCCGAGGCTGTGCTAGAATACACGGCATGCGGCTCCATCACTCCCCCGCTGGCTAGAAGCGGCGATGCAGAGTTGTCGTAGTGGTTGTATTCACTCCCCGAGGATTCCGTGCAAATGCCCATGTAGGAATGTCCACTATTCGTTGATGAATGGGACATGGAGTGTCCTGCCAAGCCCATTCCTTCCATATCGCTGGCCAAATGTCCATTCATCATCCCAATCCCACTCTCCAAAGGTAAACTGTTTGGAGGACAAGACAGGCCCCCGCCGCCCCCCTGAAAGTTATAGGACTCGGGAATGTGATTGAATCCCAGCCCGTTCATCATGCTGTATATGGAAGGTTTGAGCGCCTGACATTTGCGCCTGAATCCCCGCGGCCTCCTGCGGAAAGATCCCTCCTCGAACATGAACTCACTGGCCGGGTCGATGGTCCAGTAGTGACCCTTCCCAGGTCTGCCTAGACCCTTGGGCAGCTTGATAAAGCACTCGTTCAGAGACAGATTGTGACGCACCGAGTTTTTCCAGCCTTGATACGAGCCTCTGAAAAACGGGAAGCGGCTCTGAAGGAACTGGTAAATTTCGCTCAGAGTCAGTCGTTTGGTTGGAGAGCTCTGGATGGCCATGACAATGAGAGCGATGTAAGAGTACGGGGGCTTTTCAGGACGACGGATTCCAGCGTTCGTTTTTTTTGTTTTGGTGCTGGAGGAGGAAGAGGAGGTCTCCATCACAGGCGTCTGTCCGTGTGGTTTCTCCGTCATCGGGCTACTGTGAGGAGGGGTCTGGACGGAGGGCTGCTGGACTTCAGCAGTCATTCTTCACGCACACGAGTAAAAATCCACGATCAAAAATATTGCGATTTTACGATGCTTATATTAATAACCAATTGTAATTCTGGAATGACCTAACGTTCTCTCTGGTTATGCGTAATTGCGCACTCCCCCTGATACTACTACGCACCATAAAACTAAATACTGCAGGGAAAAGAAGATTCTTTCGGCTTCAGATCATGTCCTCTTGTACTTCCTTCAGGAGTTGAGCTTTTACTTATCTGTTTTCATCGGCTCCTCTCAGGCTCTTGAGCATGAGCAAGTCAGAGTCGCTTTGGGGCCGCCCAGTGTCCCTCCCACTGTCAGCTCTGCTGAGGTGAGCTTCACAGACATCTGCACAACTGTACCACTATTAAATAACGCGCGATTATAGTCTTATTTATTGTAAATAAAATAGCATATTCAGTGCACATTAGCATAGAGTTTTTTTTCCGCACAATACAAAATGAGTTTAAACTAATAATAAATTAAACTTTAGGGGTCGTAACTGCTGGGTGATCACCGCGTTTTAAGGCTTTTTAATAATATCAACGGGATATAAATGATTCATTAATTTCATGTATACTTTAAATACTTTGTACTTTAAAGCATTCTCACATTAATAAAAAGTTTTTTTAGAAAAAAGTTTAGAAGCGGCAAAATCGCGTTATATATGTGAAATTATTATCATTTTTTAAATAACACCATTTTAAAAAGTCCATAATCGGTTGAAAGTTGTTTCGTTTTTTTCCAGATCGACACGAACATAGACAGGATGTTTATACTGCAGAATGTAAACACTTTCCAAAAGTCAAAAGTCTCGGTATTGCAGCTAATTCACATAGAAAGCCACATCCGTATTCCGAGTTTTACATGTAAATGTAAAGATTCCTGAGCTGTGTAAGAATGGAAATTTGGGGTAACATAGCGTTAACGGAAAGTGGTTTGAAGACTGCAACATTCAGCTGTATCGCTTCATAAAGGCACGTTCACACGATATCTCTCAATTGACATACTGCATCTCCTGAATTTTTGCTTTATTTAAGTCAAATCAAACGATTGACACGAATTTGCCTAATTGTGAACTTTATGGACAAGATAGTAAAATAAATGCGTTGTGGGGTATGTCAATGTGTATCAGAATGCTGCAGAAACTTTCTTTCTTTCTTTCGTTCTTTCTTTCTTTCTTAAATCTTCATTATTTGCTCTCTCCCGGATTTAATCGAAGATTTAGTCTAATTTAGTAACTGGGAATGTATATATGGTTTAATCTGTGCAGCACTCGTGCTTTAAGAGTGCACATAGACTTTATTTTTTATTTTTTAAATAAGATACGATATACATTAAGTAATTACGAATTCACTTTGAGACACATTTCTGTTGAGACATGTGCAGCCTACATAGTTTCAAATGTTTCAACTGACTAACTGAACAAAGACTAATCTAGAAGAAAGTCTTACACACACACACACACACACACACACACACACACACACATATATATATATATATATGTATGTATGTATGTATGCATGTGTGTGTGTGTGTGTGTGTGTGTGTGTATAATTTCCTTATTGGCATAAATCTTGGCGTCTTGGCGCAAGAAATGTCAACATTCAGGAGTATAGCTCCGCTATCAGCTAATACCCTGAAGGTTTGGACCATGGTTTTGCTCAGAAAAAGAGCCACCTACATTTATCAGTGCTATGGACCACCCAGCATGCGCTCACCCTTTGCCTTAGGGTTGATGATTTCATTTGTTAAGGCCTTTAGTTTTAACACTCCTTTACTGCTGTCCCCTGTTCACTCTCACATAAACTATTAAAAAAACCTACATCCATCTTCAAATGTATATAATACGACTCTAGTTTAATTGGTTTGCGACCTAAAGTATGACAAAACTCTGTACCTCGGGATGTGCAAACAAATAACATTTGGTTTTCTGCTCGCTTGCTTCAGACAACCGAGTTGAAAAAACTGATAAATTGTTGAAAACCTGATTTAAGATTATGTATAATAATAATAATAATAATAATATAGACTGATTCGTCGTCTTAGTTAATGTTCATATTTTCCATCACGTCTTCCATTAAAATATTTGACACATTGCGCCCTCGACCACTTAGAAAGAGGAAAGCCACATTGTTCGACTATGTTAGTATGACATAGCTAAATGCTCAATTTATTATTAGAACACAGGCGTCACTAGCTGTTGGTGTATTGTTAGTTTTAGGTAATAGCCAACTCTTAAATGTTTACAATAATGTGTAGAAAAGTAACAAAACACATCTAATAAACGCATGAATTCGTCACGGTTTTGCTGCATTATGATTTTAGTCAAGTTAGTGTAACTCGATCTCATTAATGACAAAAAAGGCCGAATTGTAATGTACAACATGAATTATGTCTACAAAAAAAACTAAAAAACATTTGAAATGTGGTTTTATTTATTCAGCTTATAGTCTATTAATGAGGAAACGACTTAAATTCACATTGCAGGGGGCTAAATGGTGAAAACATTAAAGGGGGTCATATGATGCTATTTTAATGATCATTATTTTGTGTATTTGGTGTAACAGAATAATTGACATGCTTAATGTCAGAATAATTGACAGTATTTTCAAATACTGTACATTATTGTAGGTCCTCTATGCCCTGCCGTTAAGACAGCTGACTTGCTATGATTTCTGACAGGCAGTTCACTCTACTGTGATGTGACCCTGTTCCCCTCACAACACACACACACACACACATGACGCGTTATGCTCTGCACACAACTCCGCATTTGAACAGTCAATAGCAAATACTTAAACTAATAACAAAACATACTTACAGTCGCTGATTCAGAAGCGCCAGATTGTCATAGCAAAGTCGGAATTTACCCTTTTTTAAAAAAAAATTTGAAATAGCCTTTGTGCACAGCCAGTCTTGTACTCTTCTAGGTTAAAAAAACTGTCGTCCATAAAATGCGTTGCACAAATTCGAACATCTGGGTTGTGCTGTTCTGCTGTAAATACATCTTAACCAATGATATCTAATTGCATCTACTTCTGGAAGGCCAAATAAAGTGCTTTTGCTTTAGCACTGAAACACACAGGGTCTCCCTGACATGGCTGCATCAACACTCCTACTGCTGATCCTGAAACCACACCTTCTTTCTTTGCATACACATTTGGGCGGCATTATGCTAATATTTTCACATAGTGACCTAGACATGTGGGGGCGTGTTAGAACGAGGCGTTCTAGGTAGGCGTGGCTGACTCTTAACTTTTATAAAGAATATCTCTTTGGATTTGAGACTTTAGTCTTTGCAACTTTACAGATCTTCTTTATGCACCAAGAGCCTGTAACACTTCAAAGAGAAAGGAAAATTTGAAATCGCATCATATGACCCCTTTTAATCTTTTCTCATAGTAGGCTACATACTAAGGTTGTTATAGATCAGTACATACCAAAAACATCACCTGAGCTGACTGCCAGTATACGATGGCTATTTTTTTGATCTGGAACCAGAGAGCTAATTCTGGAGCATGTTGGGTTGGCTGCTTGTAGGTCCACAAGTTCACTGCCGCGTGACACCTTTATAATTGCACTTATACTGCTATAGTTATTGAAAACTATTGTACTAATCATTTTAGCTGTGTAGAGATATTGTAATGCACTTCTTTGTTGAAAGAAAGAAATAAAGAAAGAATTAGGCTTGTTGAGATTTCTGACAAGATGTCTGTCTGACAGTTTTTCACATATGAATTTACGAGAATGCAATGTTTAGCTGTGAAATAACTAAATAACCCCCCCCCCACACCACCATTATGTTGACTATTGCTTACATGCACTATGAGTCTTGATGAGCAGTTTGTTTCACGCGTGGCTTCGGTCATACAACATGCCATGTAATTAAAACAGTCTAGATTTGGAGAGGGTGCCCAGTCCCCATTACTTTCACTCTCTCCGTATGTGGGCGCGTATATTTTTGTTGAAGTGGAGTATATGTGAATAGAAAAGGATGGGATTACACACACACAACTTACTTCAGATGCGTTCATTGATTTGAGGAAGAGATTTGCGGCTGTAATCAACAAAGTCATTGCGGACGGCTTTTTAATTTATTTGGCGAGAACTTGTCAGCGGCCTTCTAGAAGAGAAGATAAGGAGCAGAGGCAGGGCCGTACGGTGACGCATTGCTGCCACACACATATTTTTCCCCTACTCAATTATGTCATAATAAGGAGATGTTATGTCGTTTTAACGACATATTTTCTCATTAAAACGACATCCTTTCTCGTAATAACGAGATGTTTTCTCGTTAAAACGACATCTTTCCTCGTAATAACGAGACGTTTTCTCGTTAAAACGACATCTTATCTCCTAAAAACAAGATGTTTTCTCATAAAAACATTGTTCTCGTAAAAACTAGATGTTTTCTCGTTAAAACGACATCTTTTCTCATAATAATGAGATATTTTCTCATTAAAACGACATCTTTTCTCGAAATAACGAGATGTTTTCTCGTTAAAACGACATATTTTCTCGTAAAAACGAGATGTTAAGTCTAAAAATTATATAATTATCTCGTTAAAACTACATCTTTTCTCGTTAAAATGACATATTTTTTCTCGTAATAACCATATTATGTCATAAAAACGATATGTTTTCCCGTTATTATAGATATATGGTAAGCTGTACGTGAGCTAGCTAAGCGACTGTCTGCGCTGCTGTCGCATGTCTGACATAAACGAGGATCTGCACGCCGCTGAAATGATTGAAATACACTGTTTTAAATGTATTTTAATGTAATGGTTTTAATTGTAGCTGCATGTTTATTAGGATTAATCTCCAATTTGTCTACAATATTGCTATCCAATAACTGCACTCAGACCCATGACTCGTTTAGGCTGTGATCAAAACAGTTATTTTTGAATAATCGACTCTGGGCTTAATATTTCGTTATTTGAATGACTGAAGTTTGATTTACAACAAATCGAAATACAAACAAAAAGAAATAAAGAGATTTTCTAATAATAATAATAATAATAATAATAATAATTATTATTATTACTATTATTATTATTTCATTCTGTTTGGCAAACGGGCAAACGAAAATTAAGCTAGATTTTTCGTAGGCCTATTTTTGTTCGTGGGC